GGGAGGGAAAATGGCCACGTATCCTGTTCGTACCCCGAGGCGGAGTTCGCAAACCGAGATACATTTTTGCAGCCGGAGCTGGTCGTAACCCGAAAAGTTCGTTAACAGAGGCGTTTGTAATCCGAGGTACCACTGTAGTTTTCCTTTTACAAACTTGCAAACTCCCTAAAACTTTTTCAACCATGATCAAGAGGCATAAGCAGAAAATACATTAAATTTCACCATCTGGAGTTGATGGATACAATATGTAAGCTGATCTGGATCTCCTGGAAGATCCTTCAATGAACTGCAGTACATTAGCTCTCAGTTGTTTTACAGTAAGAGGAATAAAATAATTTCCCCTCTCTAATATTTGTTGTGGCAATTGAGAAACCTTGAGGTAAAGCAGGAGTGAATTTTTGCACAGAGCATTATTGCAAACTCTTGGTTTAATGGAACTCAGATACAGTGGACAAAGATTTCATTTGGGCTTCATCCCATTTAACAGACAAATGTCCATTAAATTGAGGCTTTGTCTAATAAATTGCTAATGGTGCTATTTGCTTCAGTTATGTAATTATAGAAACAATATAAATGGATATAAACAAGTTAAATTTGAACTTTATAGACATTTGTATTTAATGGACATACTCCACCCCACCCCACCCCCCAAGTTCAGTATTTGTTACTAGTACTTGGGTGTATCCATTTTAATCCAGGTTTCTCATAGAGAATTTGGGGATTTCAGAACAAAAAAGGTCTGAAAACAAGTCAGTTCCCTGCTTCCGGTCTAAATATTTGTGCCTCCGCCCCCCGACTTCACTTACCTCTATTGGAATAGGTTCAAGCCCTGCACAGTTTTCATTGCACTTATCATATACTAATCTCAGTTTCCTAAACAGTATGGAGAGTTGGCGCAGATGTTCTTGCAGCTTTCCTAATCTGTCTTGATATGTGCCCGTATGATAGGTGACACCATTTGGAAGCTGGAATATTCAAATATTTGTTAGTGAGTAATCAAATTTCATCCACCCTTGAGAATATGCAATGAAAAAAGGAAACCTCACTCATTCTTCCAACAAGCATAAAAGTTTTTGACAAAAACTTTGTCAGTTATCAATGGTTTCTATCTGAGCTTCATATCATTAATTTAGAATAATTATTAACCAACTTCTATACTTCCTTTCACTGAAGCATACAACAAAATGAAAAATAATAATGAAAGAATACACAACATTATCTGAAATGCCTACAGAATACCTTTTTGAATACTGATGGGCTTCTTTTGGAAAAGAATTTCATAAAACCAAAGCCACTTCTGAGAAGATCCTGCTGGTAGCATTTTCCCCCAATTTTTTAAAAAAATATTTTTGCGAATATTGTGATACAACTGGCAAATCTGATTCATTGAAGGCAGATTAGAAGTGGATGTCTCTACTAACGGAGGGCAAATTGCTTTGCAATGGCCATCCCTAGCTGAAGTCTCTTGCTTCCTCCTGAAACTGCCCCAGAACACTGAAGAACCCAACAGGACATTTGGATAAGAGCATAAGAACTTTATTTCTACAGTGCTAGGCACTGTAAACAATATTTTTTTCTAAAAAAAATCAATGTAAAAACTCTTGATTGCTAAAAGAAGAACACAGGATGAATGTATAGGCATTCTCTACAAATTCAGTGGACACATGGATTACATTTTTAAAAAATAATCCTAAGCAATCAACATGAAACAATAAAAGTTAAGGTAATTGTTTTAAAATTTAAAGATAAGAAACTGGTGAGAAATTTCTTAGAAGAAATAAAAGTGAATATGGGAAAATCCTACAAATACATTAACTATGGAGCAATAAAAAATGACATTTGCCAGCTGCCATCAAGGTATGTGCAAATAAGAAGTAGCAGGAAGGTTATACTGCATGAGAAAAATAAAAAATCCCAGAGAACTTACACACCCACTACTATCAATTTATAAATCACTTATCTATATTTTAATCTAGTATATACAACAGGTTTGTTTTCTTTATAGCAGCACATTTTTTCTAAAAAAAAAAATCTTGAATTTAAAATGAATCCTCTCCAAAAGACAGATTAATTAGAAAAGAATTATCTGCCTCCTTTACTATATTCTCAGTGAATCTAAGATTCTCCAATTTTAAGAGTAAATTATCTGGGGGGAAAGGCAGATAAATCTTTAAAGCAGTTTTTTTTTTTAAATGAAAGTATGCAGTAAACAAATAATTCCTTTTCTGAATGCCAAACTCATTATAGCTTGTACCTTCCCTACTGTACACTTTTTTCAATTTAATTCAAGTTCTGTATAAGAGATGGGAATAGGTCAGTATTATTTGGACAGGGGATTCCTTACCTGCATATTTCTTAGCAATTGGAAGATTTCCATGGTGCGGAATACAATGTCCTGCACAGTCTCCTGACCAATGCGACACAAAGAAGCTGTGTTCACTTCTCGTGCAGCCTGACCCTGAGGTCCAGAAAATGGACCAGGTGGCAATCCTGGCCCTGCTAGAGGCGGTGTAGACATCCTGAAATGCAAGAATTAAACTATTAAGGTCAAAAAAGGAAAATGAGTGTCAAAGAGTACACAAATCTGTTGGATACAATTAGCGTGTTTACTTTCTTCCCCACCCACAGATTATCCAACATGCATGTTTAATATATTAAGGCTTTGATACTGACATATTGAAGTTAAATTACATTTGGACCCTCCATCTACAATTTAACATCATGCTCAAAACCCTACATTTCATGTAATCTTAAGACTGCAAAGGTGGAAGGGATCATTTAGGGCACATCACTAGGTGCAGGAGCCCAAATTAAAGACTCCTTGAGAGACAGTGGTCCGGTTTCTGCTTAAACAGGAAGGGCAGCTCCTCCCTTTAGAGTTGCACACCGCATCATGCGTCACCATCTGCTCCATGGAGCTGTATCTAGGTATCTATGAATATTATGCTTTTGATTCAGTCTTATTTAGAAAGCTCATTCTTTGTTGCCTAGGCCACTTTCGCATAACCTAGCTTGGAACAGCAGGGTAGCAGTCTACCCTTGCCCCTTCCTGTGGAAACCAAGTCACTGGACTAAGCCAGACTTTATAAATACTGCTTGGAGACCCAAAGCCTATTCAGGAGAAGGAAAGCCCTTTGGTCTCGCAGTTTTTGGGCGCGGACTTTCCAGAATGTCCAGCTTCCTACCACCTCTGCTTTGTTTTTAACCTATTCTTGGGTCTGCTCCCTTCATATTCCTAGAGGTTTGAAGGGATCTTGGGGGTCTGTTAACCCACCCCCTGCCCAGGGCAGGAGTCCTCATTCCAGCCTGGACAAAGGCTGCCCAGGCTGGAGCCCCCACAACTTCAGGCATCCTTCCCAGGACCCAACAATTTAAGGACAGGCCCAGGCAGGCGCTCAGGACCCTTAAACTGCTCTGGACTCCAAGGGGACGGGGCCCCGAAGCATCCCTGTCAATCAAGTCCGGAGTTTTCTTAAAAACAAAACTCCCAGAAGGGAAACCAGCATCTTTTGGGCAACCCGCCTCACGACGGCTCTTCATAACATGGACGCTTAGCTCAGCCTTCCTCCACCCGGCAGCCTGCAGAGACACTGAGCTACGGGGCCCATCATTCCCAGCCACTGGGCTGGGGATGATGAAGGGTGTAGTCCAACTGTCTCTGGAGGGCCTCTGGGAGGGAAAGAGGGGGAGAGCCACGGCTACGAGGGTACCTAGCCGTCGTTGTCCCGAGGACACCCGCCTCCTCTGCCCCGTCCGGGCTGCTCTACTCTCCCCACCGGCGTCACCCTCCTCCTTGCGCGGAAACCGTCAGCGGACGACGAACGGCGGGATGTGATGACGTCATCGTCGCGGCACGGAACAGAGCGATGGCCGCCTTCTGTGGACCTGCAGGGCGCAGCCATTTCTTTTTTCCGTACGGGGGCATGCTCCCAGCTCCCAGCCCCCGCCCTCCTTGTGGGGAGGCGGAGCGCGCAGCCACTCCCGTCAGCTGCCCTGGCGCTTCAGTGCCGGGAGGTGCGCGCCTTTTGATGGGGAGGACGACCGTCCCCATGGTCCCCAGCCAATATAATGGTAACGGGCTCCCTTTCATCTTCTTGCCCTGCTCCCTTCCTGCCAGCTGTCTCTCCCTTCTCCAAGGAGAGTGCAAATCAAGAGATAGAAATGCCTCTTTTTCCGTTCCGCAGCTTCTAACGCAGCCTGGGCTCTGGCAGAGGTTGGATTAGACACCGCAGAAAAGAAGGAAGCCAGCAGGTTTGATGCTGCTTGCCTTTAACTCAGTGTTTCTCAGCCTTGGCGGCTTTAAGATGGGTGGACTTCAACTCCCAGAATTCCCCAGCCAGCATGGTGGCTGGGGGATTTTTGGGGTTTGAGGTCACCCATCTTAAAGCCGCCAAGGCTGAGAAACACTGAGTTAAAGGCAAGCAGCATCA